TATTAAATTTTAAATTTTTAGAAAGGACAATGTATGTAAAAAAATATTCTAATTATGAGGATTGTTTTACATTTTTGAAGGAAAATATATATTGATAATTTTTAAGTATTGATGAAATTCAATAATTGTAATTAAAATACTCATTGAGTGAGTAGATTTAAGCCATTCACCAAATTAAAATCTACAAAAAAATGAACAACATGAAGAGGAGTCCAAGAACGAAATGAAAGAGGTGTGAATCTGGAAAATTGCAATCTGATTGCTCTCACTAAGTGTTATGGATAAAAATAACTCATCCAAGGACTAGGATTTGCTCTTCTCCAATTGCGTTGAAGTGGTGATAGGATGGTGCATCTTAGGATACTTTCAAGGTTAAAATATGCAAAATCTTCCTAAACTTTGATGCAATTGTACATAACTTCCTTCACTTTTAAACATTTAAAATTAATCTTCCCAACATCTTATATTTTTCTTTAAAGCCCCTAATTCTAATAACTCTATTATCATATCAATAGAATTTGTCATATCACATTAATGAGACATACATGGCACTTAACATGAAAAAAATATTTTAATTATTTTTAACACAACTTAAGAAGGAATCATATAAATAAAAATTTATCCTTTAAAACAAGAAGAATATGCATTAGTAATAAAAAAATATAGGTAAATTTTTTATAAAATCATTATTAGCTTACATAGGGTGTCGTATAAGTTATCATGTGTTTTTATCATAATATGATATGGCAACTTTCATTAGTAAGATAGCTAAAAAAATAATGAAAAAGGAGTTTGTGATTAAAAAAAAAGGTTAGGAAAATTAATTTTAAACTTTTAAAAATGAAAAAGGTTCTATATAATTTCCTTGAAGTTCAAAATTTTTTTATATATTTTAGCCTGTTAACAATGGGGATGACATGTATGCACACATGGAATTTGGGGACGATTTAATTAAATGCAAGTAAATAGAAATAAAAGGAAAATAATATTCTAAAAATGGAGATGGAAATCGGAAATTATGATGATAAGGATGGTAGGAAAATGCATGATTAAAATAAAGGAATTTGGAATTGCCATCAATGTCATCAAGGTTACATGCACTTGCAATTTGTATTTCCAGCCATTGGATCACAATTTGAGCTCATCAAAGGAGTATAATTTCCTTCTTCTTGCTGCCTTAATCATCCATGAGCATCCCATGGCTTAAAACACAAAATGGACTAATTAAAGACTAAGTTATATGTTGATATATTTCCTTGTGTTTTATTAATGCATCCTACTTAAGTGTAAATGATGAAAATGTAAAGCAAATTAAGTTGAAATTATGGAAGATTAAGAGATTGGATTAGTTGTGGTAAGTTTCTTAGGAATCCTTGAAATTAAAAAAAAATTTCTAACCTCATGCACTTTCTAAGTGTTGGGAAAGTACCCTTAAAAGTATAAAAAGTGTGTACTTTTAGATGTAATTAAGTGAAATAACTCACAAAATAAAATGAATTAATTCAAATAAATTCATGGGATGAAATAAAAACACAAAACTAATTAATGATGAAGTTTTTTAGAAATTATTTTCAAAAATTACATTTTGACCCAAAGCTTTTAGAAATCACAATTCTACCCAAAAGTTCCAGAAATTACAGAATTAGCCCAAATGATCCAAAAGGTCTATTAAGCTCAAAATGCCCCTAAAAGGTGTCAAAAGCTAAAAGATAAATGTAACAATAATAAAAATAATATACATTTATTATGATAACAACCAATGATGGTAGCTAGTGATGATAGGTGGCGATCAATAATGGTAGTCAATAATAATAATTGATAGTGGTAGCCAATTGTGATAACTAGAGGATCAACAATAACCACAAATGACAGGTGGTAGCTAGTGGAGGTGGATGATGGTAATGGCAGCAATACGCACTAGCGATGGTACGTGCTTTAACATCAAGGCTAGTTCATTTGAAGTAATCCACTTGGTCAGATGGCTCAACTTTCAACCTGAACAAATTCTTGCAGATTTCTTACACCAACGAGCAAATTACACAGAACAAAACTTACCTCATAATGAAGCTTTTTGTTCATCATAATTGACAAATGAACACAGCTGGCTGTTAAAGATTAAGGTTGCGAAATGGTAGGAAGAGAGACTTTCCAATGTCAGCAGAAGTTGCATGTGATGTTTCTTTCAATAACTAAGTCATTTATTTGATTTTGGATTTTCATTAGGAAGTTGCAATTCACTCATTTTGCTATCAGACAGGCATCCTCTTTGTCATCAGGTCGCATAAAGAATTATCTAATATTTTTTAAAAATAATTATCTAAGTGTTTTTCCTTCATTGATTAAAAAAATATAGCCTTCATAAAAAAATAATTATTATGTTAAATATTTTGAACTATTTTTTTCTTAACACCTCCTCTGCAGATATTAGCCATAGTTGTAGTAAGGAAAAATAAGGCTCATATTTTTTTGTTAAATAAAAAGGCTCTTTTTTATTCATAACAAATAGTTAGTCGGACCTCAAAGTTAGATAATTGTGTAAAAATTAATATATTTCAGCGTGTGTATTAAACTTATTTGTAAATCGACACAAGTTCTTTGATTAAGCTTGATTTACCCAAACTCCCAATTGAGCATTATTTTATGTTTCTCTGCAGAAAATTATAACTTGTGCCTCTCATGAGACGCTCAAAATCATTCAACTAAACACCATTGTGATCGAAATTGTGCAAAAATCTGCAAACGATATTGTTCATAACAGTAAATCAGTTGTGTGGATTCCAAGTATGGAATTAGAATGAGATATGGATGAGTAAAAGATGGTGGAATTAACAGAGGAGAGACTAAGGTTTGGTTATAGTGCATGAGAAAAAGGATTTGGATCCAGTACTTGATTAATGAATGTCTTAAATGACACGATAACAATTAATTTAATTTACTTGAATGACTGTAAAATATCTTATTAGATAATATTTGAAAGTAATTCTAATTTCAAACTTTTAAATAGGACGATGTGTACATGATAATGTTCTAATTATAAGGATTGTTTTGAATTTTTGAAGGAAAATGTGTCCTGATAATTTTAAATATTTATGAATTTCAATAAATAAAAATTTATTTATTTTTCCTTAAAACAAGAAAAAAAAATATGCATAATTAATAACAAAAAAATATGGATAAAATTTTTTATAAATTTATTATTAGCTTACATAGGATACCATATAAGTTTTTACGTATCTTATCTTAATACAATATGGCAACTTTGGCTAGTAAGAGAAAAAACAATAGAAGGGGAGTTTTGTAGCAAAAGTAAATAAAAGATTATGGATGTTAATTTTAAATTTTAAAGGTGAAAGGGTTGTACGTAATTTCTTTAAAATTCATGAAAATTTTTATACATTTTAGCCTATTATCAATGGGTATGTACATGGAATTTTGGGAGGATTTATTTAAATGCACGGAAATGGGAATGGAAGGCCAATAATATTTAAAAATGAAATTCGAAATTATGATGATAGGATGATTGTTTAAAATGCATGATTAAAATAAAGGAAAAAGAGAAAAGAAAATGGAATCTGGAATTGTCATCAAGGTTTCTTACAATTGCAACTGCATTCCAACTATTCGATGATGATTTAAGGTCATCAAAGGGGTGGTAGAATTTCCTTTTTCTTGCTGCTATAATCATCCATGAACATTCCGTGGCCTAACACAAAATGGACTCGTTAATGACCAAGTTTGCACGTATATTTCCTTGTACTTTATTAATGCATTAAATTTAGGTGTGAATATGAAAATAAGAAGTGAATTAAAATGAAATTATGGACGATTGGAGATTGGATTAGTTGTGGTATATTTTCTAGGAATCATTAAAGTAAAAAAAATCTAACCTAGTACACCTCCAAAGTGTTGGAAAAAGTACACTCATGAGATTAAATAAAAACTAAAAATTAATTAATGAATGAAATTTTCAATTTTTCAGAAATTATTTTCAAAAATTACATTTCGCCCCAAAGCTTTTAGTATCCCCAATTCTGCCCTAAAAGTTTCAGAAATTGCAGAATTGACCAAATGATCTGAAGGCCTATTAAGCTCAAAATGGATGTTGAAATTTAGGAAAAGTATATAAATATGACATAAACAATAGATATCTATCATAACAATCAATAGTGATGGCTAATGATGATGGATGGCAATCAATGGTGGTAGTCAATAGTGATAGTTGATAGTAGTGGTCAACTATAGTAACTAGCAAGGTTAAAGATAACCACCAATGATGGGTGGAGGCTAGTGAAAGTGGATGACAGCAAGTGGTGACAATAAACGCTGGTGGTAATGGTAACTGCTTTAATATCAAGGCCACTTCTCTTGAAATAATTCACTTGGTCAAATGACTAAACTTTCAACCTGAACATTGCAGAATTTCTTAGACAACGAGCAAATTGCAAACACTAAAAACTTACCTCACAATGAAGCGTTTTGTTCATCCCATTTGATAAGTGAATGGAGGTTGGCTCCTAAAGATCAAGGTTGCAAAAAGCAGGCAGAAGAGACTTTTCCAGACTCAGTAAATGTCTGCATGTGAATGTTCCTTTAGCAAATATCGGCATGTGAATGTTCCTTTCAATAACTGCGTCATTGAATTGACATGAGATTTTCATTAGGAAGTCCCAATTCACTCATTTTGCTTTAGACAGGCATAGTCTGTCATCAGGTGGCATAAAAAAGCTTTTCTAATATTTTTTTAAAAATAATTATCTAATTGCATTGCCATCGTAAGAAAATTATTGTTATTTTAAAGATTTTAAGCTATTTTTTTCTGAACTCCTTCGCTGGAGACATTTAACCAAAGTTGTACGAGGGGCAAAATAAGACTAATACTTCTTAAAAAAATATCTCTTTTTCATACAAATTATTAGTGGGACGACCTCAAAATTAGATAATTGCGTTAAAAATTAATAGATTTTAGCGTGTGTATTTAAACTTAATAGTAAATCGACAAGTTCTTTGATTCAAATTTGCCCAAACTCCCAATTAAGCAATTCTTTTATGTTTGTCTACAGAAAATGTATAGCTTGTGCCTCTCATGAGCCGCTCAAAATCATTCAACTAAGCACACATTATGACCGAAATTGTGCAAAAATCTGCAAATAAATATTTTCGTAACAGAAAAAAAAAAATCAGCCTCTTGTACAAGACATTCTCACGTTCACAACGGCAACCAAACCATTAATAATTGGATATACCTCAAATAACCTAAAAAATGAAACCTCTATATTCATATTGATTTAGCCTACCTCTCTATTCCTATCTTCATCAATCTAATTGGGGGGGGGGGGGGGGGGAAGACAAATGTAGGGAAAGAACCAGACAGGATGATGACAGAGACCTGAAAATGAATTTAGATTTGATTTTGATTGCAAGTAATTCCTTTTGAGCATAGCCTTCTCCAACCACTGCCTGTCCACCACCTTCTCCGTCATGCTCCGGCAGAGTCGGTCCCATTTGAACATGGCTCGCTTTAATCTCACACTTCGTCTTCCACTATACAGATAGTTAATGTAGTCCTTAGCTAGCTTTGTAAGTTCCTCGCCAGTGAGGACGTAGACATACTGGAAAAGTAGAACGTGGAAGTTAACAAATGAAGCATGGCATTATCACCAATCATCCAAGAGAATCATGTCCAAGGTGATACTCTATCCACCAGCAGCGTGAAAATAAGTATATTGCAAGCTTAACCTCATGCATTGTGAAGACTTCATCAAGTGTCTTAAAGGTTATCAATATTTCTTTTAATGCAGTGAATTTTTTTTTTTTTTTTGGCAAAACTTCTAATGCAGTGATACTTGGCAGTTATCTTGCTCTTGAAACACGTACACAATGTTACCTTTTCTTTTATCACATGGCTAATTCTACCAACAATGTGTGCATAAATGTATTGCAAGCTTAACCACATGCATTATGAAGACTTTCGCAAGTGTCCTAAGGTATCACCCTTTTCTTAATTATTATAATTATATGCAATTATAATTGGCTTATTGTTGTTATCACACGCAGTTATACTTGGAATTTTTAAAGTGATCCCACCTAATGGGATAAGACTTATTATTCAATATGCGGTTATTAACCTGGCAGTAATCTCACTCTCAAAATTCATCCACAAAGTTACCTTCTTCCCTTTTTTTCACTTGGATATTTCAACTTGATGCTTTTATTATTTATCTCCATTTTTAATAACAAAAGATAAACTAGGGTCATGAAACTAGAAAGATGAGGCAATTCCTAATACACATCATAAGATATCAAGAGGAGAGAGAGTACCAGAAATAGAAATCCAATGGTAGCTAAAAAAAACTTGGGAGAGTCTCATTGGACTTCCCAGCAAAGCCTCCATCCCCTGATCCACCAGAGCCGCCGCCACCGCCCCCTCTCGGGGCTTTACCCCACTGCTCCCATTGTCATATTTTCCTTTTCAATCTGCTGCCGTAGTACCTCCTCTATTGACCTTCCTTAAATTTTCCATAGCTTTCCATGGAGAATCCTAATTAACGGTATTTATTATGTTTAGTAACAGCTACAAATATCCATACCACAATATGTAAAAGATAATTACTAGTGACGATAGTTAAAACCATCTAACCAACACTCATTACCTCTGTATATTTCCTCAAGAAAGAAATAATAAGTAAGAAAATTCTGAGCACTTTAGAGAGTTAGAAAAATATATAGGGTCGGTAACATTAATCCTACTTGTTCAAGATCAGATTGAACAACTTTAAATATGCACTTAAAAAAAAAAAATACATAATTAGAAGTCTTAAACTACCTATGCCCCACCCACCTGCACCTGCTCTTTTCAATGCCTCTATCAAATATGCATTATTCATAGGGAAAAGAAATCAATGCATTTCTTTGCAAGTTTACCATTTGGTTTTCCAATTTAAATATGACAAAGCATGGTTATTTAATAGCATCATTTGATAGAGGTGGTGTGGTGATTAAAATCAATGACAGTACGATTTTTCATCTAAATTATTCACTTCTCGTTTTTCAATTGAAGAACCTGATAGTAAAGACATAAGGAGTTGCATCATAGGGCTGATCCTTATTCATAGCTGTAGCTGTGGAAATATATAAATAATATTTATTGTAAATATTTGCTGTTATTAGGATTTATTCGATAGGATCATATTGTATCAGATATATTAGGAATTCCTTCTGTTTTTATTTCTTTTCTCTGTAAATCACTAGAATCTCGGCCCAGATAATGGCTATCCTCGTGTATATAGTCTATTGACTTTTGAGAATGAAATATTATTCAGTTCTGCAATTTCTCCTTCATGGTATCAGAGCTCGGTGAAGAAGGAAGAACTGAATCATCAAAGACAGATATGGATTCAAACTCTCTGTCCGAAAGTCACCACAAATCTAAGCAGGGGTTTGTCCAGTGTGGGCCCACGTGAGTTCAGGTCCTTTGTGACTGGTCAAGAGAGCTCACTAGTCTCCCTTGTTTCAGACAGACTTGCTGGCGCTAACTACAGAGAATGGGCCCAGTCTATTCGACATGCAATAGAGGGTCGTGGCAAGTGGGGTATATGTCAGGCGAATCCCAATGTCAAGAATCAACAAACATCAAGGCTGTCAAAGTCTAGAAGGCCGAAACGAAAAGTCCATGGTATGTTCATGGCTAGTGAACTCGATGTTACCAACTGTGAATAAAAGCTTCTTATTCCTGGCCAACAGCTTGAGAGATATGGAAGCTGTGAAGGAAGCTTAGTGCGATGGTGAAAATGCTTCTTAGGTATTTGAGATTAAATCAAAGTTGTGGCTAGTGAAGCAAGGTAATCGGAATCCAAGTGAATACTACCTTGAAAAAATACTTTATGGCAAGAACTGGATTTAATTACTGCTGAGTGGACCAACTCTGAAGATGCTGCTACAACATCTCTATGAATTACTAGTGGGGCTCAATTCTGACCTCGACGATATCCGTGGCAGAATTCTGAACCTAGAACCTTTGCCATCTGTTCATGAGGCTTTTGCAATGATTCGAAGGGAGTGTTCAAGAAGAAAGGTAATATTTAAAAGATGAACCTATCTCTCAAACTAGTACTCTCAAAACCTTAGCATCTGCTCTTGTAGCCAAGTCTAATGATCCTAGAAACACTAAAGGGTCTCCCACATGTGAACACTATAAGAAAGTTGGACACACAAAGGACAAGTGCTGGGATCTCCATGGCAAACCCCTGATTGGAAGCCAAGAAAAAATAGAAAGCCGCTGATATGTTGCTGAAAGTTGTATGGGAGATGATAATAGTTCTCCCTCCTCAGTGCAGCCCTCAAATGATCAACTAAAAAATTCTTGAGATGCTTTCGCTCTACAAACTAACAGTAAGCAATCTGTTTCCACTATGGTTCAAAGAGGTAACTTTTATAAAGCCTTAGCCACTATTGAGGTGTATGCACTGGAAGTTGTGGATAGTAGACTCAGGTGCTTCAAATCATATGATTGATAACATTAAATTATTCACAACATATGTACCTTGTAAAAGGAAACTTACAGTCAAGATTGTTAATGCTTCTGAATTAGTTTAAAGCTGGCATTGGGAGTGTACGAATTTCATCTACTCTCACTTACATGTTCTTCATGTTCCAAATTTAAAGTGCAATTTACTTTCTATGAGTAAATTGGCTAAAGATGAAAAGTGTCATGCTGACTTCTTTGCTACTTACTATCTTTTCTAGGATCTACTAATAGGGATGACGATTGGCAATGCTAGAGAGTTTGATGGTCTTTACTACCCCGATAAAAGTGAAGTCAGCAAAGTTAGGTC